CCGTCCTCCTGCCGGCCTATCCACTTTATGCCACTGGCTGTCAACAGTATCTAAAAATCACATCCTGATAATTTAGAGCAGAAAAACATTAAATAGTATGATACATTAACCTGTAAGAAGCACGAAAATATTATAATTAAAGCAGAGTACTTAGCTCTGCAGTGGCTTGCAAAACTTTTCAAATTATCTTTCAGTAAGCCAAGCCAGGGTGAAGCCTAGAACCTTCAGCAGTCTAGAAATTTTGTCTTATAGCATAATTCATTATGCAAAATAATCACTGAAAAAATAAGTGAATATCCAAGCACTATTGTGATTTCTTGCACGAAGGAACTGATAATGTGAGAACTCACAACAGCTCTTGGAAATTCACTATTTTCTCAGTGGTTATTTTGCATATTGTGATATTCTGTTTACCGTGATTTTATTGCATAATACGTCATATAAATGACACCTTTTAATAAATAACATTAACTCTACATGCATTCTCTGCGTTACTCATACCACAACACTGGACTTTCAGTGGATAATGAGGCTTATGACATCACTAGCAAAATATGCCCCACCTGTATATGCAAAACTAAGCACTTGACAGATCGAAAGATATACGTATAATGTTCATGTCACTAGCATCATGTGCTATTATACTCGAAACTGAAATATTATAAGAGCAACCGAAGCTAGCTACTAAAGGCAATTTTCTTTGAATGTCTGTATGTACTCGTCTATTTGTGGTTGCAGGGGTTGATTCGTAGTTCCTGGCCCTGCTTGCAGCTCCGTACTCACCTTATTGTGGTTGCAGGGGTTGATTCGTAGTTCCTGGCCCTGCTTGCAGCTCCGTATTCACCTCATTGTGGTTGCAGGGGTTGATTCGTAGTTCCTGGCCCTGCTTGCAGCTCCATACTCACCTCATTGTGGTTACAGGGGTTGATTCGTAGTTCCTGGCCCTGCTTGTAGCTCCATACTCACCTATTGTGGTTCAGGGTTGATGAGTTCCTGCTGTTGCAGTCAACTCCTGGTTCAGGGTTGATTCGTAGTTCCTGGCCCTGCTTGCAGCTCCATACTCACCTCATTGTGGTTGCAGGGGTTGATTTGTAGTTCCTGGCCCTGCTTGCAGCTCCATACTCACCTCATTGTGATTGCAGGGGTTGATTCGTAGTTCCTGGCCCTGCTTGCAGCTCCATACTCACCTCATTGTGGTTGCAGGGATCAAGTCATAGTTCCAGGCCCCGTGTGTTTGTGTGCGCGTGTGTGCGTGTGTGTGCGCCAAGTATGTTGTCAACCTAGGCAGAACACTGACTATATACAAGGTCACCATACTGCATACCATACCTAGTACCAAGACTATCATAATTGATAAAATAGATTCACTAATTTACTGTGTTTATACGTGCTTTATAATTTATGTATGTAAAATATTAACACTGACTATTTCCATCCTAGTGTAAAAACACAGTCTGTTTACATCACTGTAAATAAAAATACTTAAATAACAGTAATAATTTATACTAACAAATGTATATTCAGCTTGGGAGAATATTTTAATTATACAAAATAACTAAATATGAAGTGTGAAGGCAGGAATCTGATAAGCATCAGTGGAAGTGCGACTAGGTATACCAAGTATGTATACCAAGTAGGTATACCAAGTATGTATACCAAGTAGGTATACCAAGTATGTATACCAAGTAGGTATACCAAGTATGTACATTATAGACAAGTGAGGAACTTAACATGAGCAACATAACATTCAGTAATGACTATTATACAGACATGACCATCACTTCAGTAATGACTATTATACAGACATGACCATCACTTCAGTAATGACTATTATACAGACATGACCATCACTTCAGTCGCTTTACATCACAAAATTTTGCATATCGAAGATTGTTTGGAGAGGAAGAGAAAGATTATCTTTGAATCTTACTCTGTATTTATACCTTTGAGGGATTGTCCAGGAGAGAGGACAATGCTGGAGGGAAGGCAACAGTGCGCAAGATAAGCATAACGTGCTAAATAACTACCAGTGTGACGGCCAATGTGTTTATGACACCAGCTTATACTGCTCTACACAGGTGCTCCTTGGCTTACGATGGTTCAACTTGCGGTATTTTGACTACGATGACGCAAAAGCAATTACTCTAGAGATGAAACTGAAGATAATTACCCAGCATGAAGGCGGCAAGTCCCTAACTTGCATTCATTTATTTACTTTTCAATATTGGTATTTATTTACGGTAATTATTTATTTATTTACTTATTCAGTAACAGTATTTACTTATTTACCACATCGTATCATATTCGACTTAATCTATTTTCAACTTACGAAAGGTTTGTCAGAATGTAACCCCATTGTAAGTCAAGGAGTATCTGTACTTTTGTTGTGTCTTCCATAATGTAATACCTATCCCCAAAATTACCTAGATAAGCAATATTCTGCTGCTTTGTAAAATTAATCCTTACATATATCTATCCACAATGTTATAAATCACTAAGTTATTCTATATCAACATGGTTTAAGGCTTATAAGAGCTGTTTTCATTATCTCATATCAAGACATCACAGGCAAGAGTACTATGGTCGGTAACAGACATATTTGGAATTGCGACAAATGAGTAGCATGGGATACTTAACTGTCTCTAATGTTAATACTTAAGTAAAAGGACACAAGCACAACTAATGTGACATTTTACTGTGGCAACGTTTCATCTTCCAGGAACTTTGTTAAGCTCCTGGAGAGCAAAATGTCGCCACAATAAAAAAATGTCACATTAGTTGAACATGTGTCCTTTTACCCAACATATTATTGGTAAGTCTACCAACATTATTACAATCTTAATACTGTATGAAATTTAGACTCAAGAAAAGGCAATCTTTTTAGAACTACCAAAGATTCTACAAATACTATTGTGCTCATAGGCATATTAGGTGGCACTTCTCTGAGGACTATAAGTTATTTGTTCCGATTTTTATTAATGGGGCTCCCATTTCTCATATGTGGAGCATAATATTACTCAAACATTGCAAGTGTAGTTACATACGATGATTATCACAATGTATTATCATTATATTATTGTATTTTTTTTTTAACGACCCAACCACATCCCTCCGAGACAGGGTGGCCCAAAAAGAAAAACAGAAGTTTTTCTTTTTAAATTTAGTAATGTATACAGGAGAAGGGGTTACTAGCCCCTTGCTCCCAGCACGTTAGTTGCCTCTTACAATACATATGGCTTATGGAGGAAGAACTCCGTTCTACTTCCCCACGGAGAATTATGTATATCATTATTATACAGAAATACAGCAGATTGTTATCATGTTTGTAAGTTGAGGATTTACTGTATACTGCCTCGGTGGGAGACGGCCGACTTGTTGAAAAAAAAAAAAAAATTAATAAATGTAAAAGGAAAAGCTTCATAAGGTTTTCTTGTTATTCGAGTCACCCCAGTGGGAGATGACCAAAAAATGAGAGGATACTCTGAATTATGTCAACACACTTCTAGAAATACAGCCACTGACTGAATGATGGTAAATGTGTTCTCTTCTTTAGTTCTCCCTGTTACTGTGGGAGATGGCTTCCGAGGCAGAAAAAAAAGTATGCAAGAAAGACTCTTGCAGTAACTAGTTATCACAAGTATCTTTTCCTTGAACACAACAGTAATATTATGAGTAACAAATATGTCACAGTTCTTCTCATCAAGCAAATTAAATCTATTAGCCCATCTTAAATGTAAATAACCAATAGATTATCAAAGAACCTGACCAGAAAAACTTTTTGTTCAGAAAATGTTAAATTTTGACATCCAGATGAGGCTTCCGTGTCCTCCTCAGAGCCCCCCTCCATGTCCTCCTCAGAGCCCCCCCTCCATGTCCTCCTCAGAGCCCCCCTCCATGTCCTCCTCAGAGCCCCCCTCCATTGTCCTCCTCAGAGCCCCCCTCCATGTCCTCCTCAGAGCCCCCTCCATGTCCCTCAGAGCCCCCCCTGTGTTGTCCCCAGAGCCCCCCCCGTGTTGTCCTCAGAGCCCCCCCGTGTTGTCCTCAGAGCCCCCCCCCCCGTGTTGTCCTCAGAGCCCCCCGTGTTGTCCTCAGAGCCCCCACTCCCGTGTTGTCCTCAGAGCCCCCACTCCTGTGTTGTCCTCAGAGCCCCCCCCGTGTTGTTCTCAGAGCCCCCACTCCCGTGTTGTCCTCAGAGCCCCCCCGTGTTGTCCTCAGAGCCCCCCTCCCATGTTGTCCTCAGAGCCCCCCTCCCGTGTTGTCCTCAGAGCCCCCCTCCCGTGTTGTCCTCAGAGCCCCCCTCCCGTGTTGTCCTCAGAGCCCCCCTCCCGTGTTGTCCTCAGAGCCCCCCTCCCGTGTCGTCCTCGGAGCCCCCCCGTGTTGTCCTCAGAGCCCCCCCGTGTTGTCCTCAGAGCCCCTGTGTTGTCCTCGGAGCCCCCCCCCGTGTCTTCCTCAGATCCCCCCCCCCGTGTCCCCTCAGAGCCCCCCTGTGCCATCCTCAGAGCCTCCCCGTGTCCCCCTCTGAGCCCCCCCCCGTGTCCCCCTCAGAGCCCTCCCATGTCCTCCTCAGAGCCCTCCTGTCCTCCTCAGAGCCCCTCCATGTCCCCCTCAGAGCCCCCCCATCCCCCTCAGAGCCCCCCCCGTGTCCCCTCAGACCCTCCGTGTCCTCCTCAGAGCCCTCCCGTGTCCTCCTCAGAGCCCTCCTATGTCTCAGAGCCCTCCCGTGTCCTCCTCAGAGCCCTCCCGTGTCCTCCTCAGAGCCCTCCCGTGTCCTCCTCAGAGCCCTCCTATGTCCTCAAGAGCCCTCCGTGTCCTCCTCAGAGCCCTCCTATGTCTCAGAGCCCTCCCGTGTCCTCCTCAGAGCCCTCCGTGTCTCCTCAGAGCCCCCTGTGTCCTCCTCAGAGCCCTGTGTCCCTCTCAGAGCCCCCCAGTGTCCTCCTCAGAGCCCCCATGTCCTCCTCAGAGCCCCCCACTGTCCTCCTCCTACCCCTCCTGTGTCTCCCTCAGGCCCCCCCACCTCACATGCCTATGATTTTTATTCATGTTACTTTATTCTCCTTGGTGAATTTATTACCATGAGAAATATGTACCAGCAAAATGGTGCAGTTAACTAAGTACAGTAACTGAACTGTGAAAAAAAATTAATGCTTACCCTTGCTAATTCTGAATCTTGATAATGCTCATGAGAGTTGCAACATTCATTGCCTTGAACAGCTGCACTGCAATACAATGGTGTAGGACACAGCCCATGGGCAATGAAGGTCTTACATTATGGCATAGTAACTATATCTGTAACATTTAAGTAATGTATCTAGTGTAAAATGCAAGAGAGAGGAATGCATCTCGAAAAAGTACGTATATCCGTCTTCTCAAGAGGCAGAATATTCATTATCACCCTCGGGCTTCCTTACCACGTGTACTTCAAGACGTAATTTGACTCCGGCGTCACCTTAACATAACTGTACAGATGCTCCTTGACTTACGATGGTTCAACTTTACAATGGTGCATAAGCAATTACTTTGGAGATGAAAGGGCAAGTCTGTAACTTGTGTTAATTTATTTACTTTTCAATACTGGTATTTAGTTAAAGTAATTATTTATTTCTTCCTCCATAAGCCACGCATGTCATAAGAGGCAACTAAAACACTGGGAGCAAAAGACTAGTAACCTCTTCTGTATAAATTACCAAATTTAAAAAGAAAAACTTTCATTTTTCTCTTTAGGTCATCCTGCCTCTGTGGGATATGGCCAGCTTGTTGAAAAAAATAATTCACATTTGACTTAAGATATTTTTGACTTATGATGGGTCTGTCGGAACGTAACCCCATTGTAAGTCGAGGGGCACCCGTACTGTTTTACCATGCATAGTATTGCATTGAAATTCACACACAAATCCTGCACATTAATTACCCTCGAGTAAAAATCCTGAAATCTGTTCAAGTGGAAAAAGCACAGCTAGTCTAACTACTAGGAAAGGATGCATCTTAAGGCCATCTCAGAATGAACACTATCCACTGGTGTGAAAAAAATAGAATAAAGATTTGGACATTTCATTTTCATGAAATCGTGTATTACAAATTCATCACCAACACTATAATAACATCACACAAATGACAATATATATATATGATATGATTCATGAGCAATGAGGACAATTATTTACGCTTTCTAAAATATATATATATATTGATAAACAAGAAAGTAACTGACATCCCCTTAACACTCAGTTCAATCTACCAGGGCTTAACAAAATACTTGCAGTATCTCCGAATAATAAAAGCAGACTGAGCTTAATGTATGATGACCTAAACCAAAATTTTAAACAACAGTTTCAGTCAAATGATTTGTCTGACAGGAAAGACTTGTAACCAAAGAAAAAATTACTGAAGTATATGTGAAATTTAGTATATATTTTGCTAACTTGATGCTTTAAATTAGTAAATTCTTACTGGAAAACTTAGTATGTACTATACTAACTTGACATTTTTCAATCAGTAAACTCTTGCTGGGAAACTTAATACATACTTAGTTAACATGATGCTGCAAATCAGTAAATTCTTGCTGTAATGGACTTACGAAATAATAAGAATATCCAATGGGTAAATTATACTTTCAGTGTATACAATTCCAGCATTTATTGCTGTAAATCGGTAAATTGATTATATAACACTATACTAGGTATATTACCCAAGTGCTTTTTGCTACTTTCTAAAAAAATCTGATTTAATGGGTGCTAGGTAGAGCTTACCTGGAGAGTTTACCTGGAGAGAGTTCCGGGGGTCAACGCCCCCGCGGCCCGGTCTGTGAGCAGGCCTCCTGGTGGATCAGAGCCTGATCAACCAACTGAGTACTGTAATTCTTTTTGGCTATTTTCTAAATTTTTTTTTTATTTAATAGGCGCTCGAAGAATCCCCCTATTAATCTGTTATGCTGAGGGTTTAAGCGGAGACTGAAGCTCTTAGGAGTGGGAATACTACCCTGGCAACTTTCTCAAAACCTCAAACTTTCGTCAACAACAAAAACCATACCAACTTTTTAAGTCCAGCATTATCTATACTGCCTTTTGCTCCACAAAGTCGTTTACATTTTAAATGTGTGCAATACAAACAGTTTGTTTAACCGAGTTGTTTATCTGAAAACCTTGCAAGATAATTTGGTCAATATCAAAACTGGTAAAACGAAAACAGGTCATTTTTTTTGATCATGAAATATCTAATGAGAATTTAGGTAGTTACAATATTTTAGGTCACTGATCATGCATTTTTGCAATATCTCGTTTAAAAAACTACAAGGCAATAATAGACTCGATATGGAATATGAGAGCAATTTTACACAACCATGCAACACTGCTGGAGTGGTCAGTCCAGCACTGGCTGCCTCAAGGAAGGCTTTGTAAAGAATTTTGTCAAGACGACAGTCACAATACCATGACTGAAACAATTCACCAAAAAACCTGCACTTAGAACTTTATGATGACATGTCAGACCATCCTGGACCACTGTCAAGTTGATAGTTGTCACTTGGCAGTAGTCCATGACAGACCAACAGCCTGGTTGACCAGGTGAATGCTAGATGAGCCTGGTCCACGGCCCGCTCCAGTAGAACAACTCTCGAAACTCATTAAAGGTAATAAATTGACTCCTTATTGGAAAATCTCACTAAGATTCCAACAACTCCACCCCATATTCTCACTGAGATTCCAGCAACTCCACCCCATAATCTCACTGTGCGATTCCAGCAACTCCACCCCAAAACCTCACTGAGACTACCGCAACTCCATCCCATAATCTCACTGAGAGATTCCAGCAATTCCACCCCATAATCTCACTGAGATTCCAGCAACTTCACCCCATACACTCACAAATGTTTCCAAATCTAACATCCCTGGAATGGCCTATGATCCTCTTCTGTGGACTAATGAAAACATAATAACATGACTGCAAACAAATCATGGAATGGGTGGGGATTTGAGGTTAGGTACAGCAATTCCTAGACTTACAAACACATACATTGGAGACCTCCTGAATTGTTAGCAATATTCACAATAAGGGAAGTCTTCAATTTACGAACACATTGGGGACCTTGTGTATTGTGTACATATAATAATGATATTATACACAAAACAGAAGATTCTCAACGTGTTTATAAGTCAAGGAATTACCGTATAAGGTAGGACCGAAATGTCATTATGAAAAGTCCTCTGCTATATGAGGGATTTTGGTGAAATGTTTTCAAAACTCAAGTATGAAATTGGTCACTTTACTGATTTGTAATTTCTATAACCTGAATTTTGATTCTCCAACTCGTAATTTGATGGCTACACTCGAGAAATTTCTCCGAATATAAAATAAGTCCTGGCTCATGAGGATTCTGGTAAAGTGCTGGTCGCAAGCTCCTACGGTAACAGCTAGAATTAAAATGTAAAGTGCTGATCGCATGTTCCCAAGGTAATGGCTAGAATTAAAGTGTTGTAAAGTGCTGGTCACATGTTCCCAAGGTAACAGCTGGCATGTGTTTATTGTTAAACTAAATGTCTAAATGATTCAATTTCAATCTACAGCAATAATAAAATGGGTCCATTCAAGAAATACTGAGACTAAAGGAAACTGGCTTATTTCCTATCAAAGCCTATGACTACCTGCAGACTGTTACAGGTATGAACTCTCGTATGCATCAAGTATGAAATATAGCATAAAAAAAATGAAAAAAAAATTACAGTCATAGCAAATATGACAATGCAAATGTAACTGGCAAGTTAACTTTATTGCACTAAGTAAAAATAAGAAAAAATCGACTCAAAAGTCTTATAAGGAAGAGTAAGACTTACTTTAAACATCACAGAATATGTTGCAGTTTACAAAATCCTTCCTCAGTTCCATAATTTCACCTTGAAAAAAAAAAAATCTATGCTATGAAAAATACTAAAATCAATTTTTGATCATCACAAATCACATTATTAGGACTGTTGCTAAGCCTCCTGGCTGACACCTTGGACTTTCCTCGCAAAATGTAGGCGAGGGTGATGGTGCACAGGTGTTGGGGATGCCCTCACAAGCTCGTCAGTCGGAGATTGTTAATTGAGCAAACCCTATTAATGCCTTATCATCTGGCACTTCACTAGGTTCACAATCTGAATTCTGAAAAAAAAAAAAAGATAGATTTACAATATTTTTTTTTTTAATTAACACATCGGCCGTCTCCCATCAAGGTAGGGTGGCCCGAAAAAAGAAAAATTTTCATCGTTCACTTCATCACTGTCTCGCCAAAGGCATGCTTATACTAGTTATAAAACTGCAACATTTACGCCCCTCCTTCAGAGTAGAGGCACTGTACTTCCCATCTGAAGGACTCGAGTCCAGCCTGCAGGACTTAGTCCTGGCCATCTCCTACTGAATAGGATTACCCCACTCAAAAGAATTTCATTCACTTGTTGTCTTGCTAGAAGTGTGCTGATATCAGTGTAGATGAATATCTAAGCTGCAACATCCTCACCCATCCTTCAGAGTGCACATACTGTACTTCCCACCTCCAGAACTAACATCTCTATCCATCCTTCAGAGTGCAAGTACTGTACTTCCCACCTCCAGAACTAACATCTCTACCCATCCTTCAGAGTGCAAGTACTGTACTTCCCACCTCCAGAACTAACACCTCTACCCATCCTTCAGAGTGCAAGTATTGTACTTCCCACCTCCAGAACTAACATCTCTACCCATCCTTCAGAGTGCAAGTACTGTACTTCCCACCTCCAGAACTAACACCTCTACCCATCCTTCAGAGTGCAAGTACTGTACTTCCCACCTCCAGGAGTAACAGCTCTACCCATCCTTCAGAGTGCAAGTACTGTGATTCCCACCTCCAGAACTAACATCTCTACCCATCCTTCAGAGTGCGAGTGTTGTACTTCCCACCTCCAGAAGTAACAGCTCTACCCATCCTTCAGAGTGCAAGTACTGTACTTCACCTCAACAACTCTTACTCTTCAGAGTGCAATATGTACTTCCCACCTCCGAACAAATCTCTACCCATCCTTCAGAGTGCAAGTATTGTACTTCCCACCTCCAGAACTAACATCTCTACCCATCCTTCAGAGTGCAAGTATTGTACTTCCCACCTCCAGAACTAACATCTCTACCCATCCTTCAGAGTGCAAGTACTGTACTTCCCACCTCCAGAAGTAACAGCTCTACCCATCCTTCAGAGTGCAAGTACTGTACTTCCCACCTCCAGAACTAACATCTCTACCCATCCTTCAGAGTGCAAGTACTGTACTTCCCACCTCCAGAAGTAACAGCTCTACCCATCCTTCAGAGTGCAAGTGCCGTACTTCCCACCTCCAGGACACAAGTTCAACTAATTGGTTTCCCCGACTTGCCTTATAAAAGTTACATTATTAACATACCAACAGCATGTCCATTTCAAAATACTTGTCTCCACTCACTGTGATCTAACACCCACACAAGCCTGCAGGATGCTCAAGACCCTAGCATTCAAAACCGCCTTTACAGCTGTTTGCCGATTAAACAAATTAAACACCTGAAGTTTTTTAAAAAATGTAACAACTAAGACTACATCTTCTTGACTAAAAATGCAGTAGAGCCCAGTAAGTACAGTGGACCCCCGCTTTACGATCACCTCCCAATCCGACCAATTATGTAAGTGTATTTATGTAAGTGCGTATGTATGTGTATTTTTGGGGGTCTGAAATGGACTAATCTAATTCACAATATTCCTTATGGGAACAAATTCGTTCAGTACTGGCACCTGAACATACTTCTGGAATGAAATAATATCGTAAGCCGGGGGTCCACTGTATACTGCTTAAGGGGTTAGTAACCCCTTTAAGCTATACAGGAGGGCGTCGCTTTTCAGCGTTTCACTAATACAGCAGTTTTCAGTTATATTCATTCTTCATTTATTCAGACTTCCTACAATAAATATATTCACCACTCTCAAAAATAATTTAAGTAATGTGTGTACTGTATATGCATTGTTTAGGCCTACAATACTGCTCACTTAATATATGATAGTATAAACATGTTATCAGGCTTTTATATGCATTTGAAAGTAAAAAAAAAAAAAAGTAAGTTCCACTTGACAGTGATTTTCAATTTACAGCAGTAGCCCAGAATTTAACCTTCTGTATGATCAGGGCCCCACAACAGCCCAGAACCTAACCTGCTGTATAAGTGGAGACCTACACTAGCCTGGAACCTAACCTGCTATATAAATGGGGCCCTACATTAGCCTGGAACCTAGCCTGCTGTATAAGTGGGGCTCTACAGTAGTCCAGAACCTAACCTGCTATATAAATGGGGCCCTACATTAGCCTGGAACCTAACCTGCTGTATAAGTAGGGCTCTCCAGTAGTCCAGAACCTACCTTGCTGTATAAGTGGGGACCTACACTAGCCTAGAACCTAACCTGCTGTATAAGTGGGGCACTACAGTAGTCCAGAACCTAACCTACTGTATAAGTGGGACCCTACACTAGCCTGGAACCTAACCTGCTGTATAAGTGGGGCTCTACAGTAGTCCAGAACCTAATCTGCTGTATAAGTGGGACCCTCCTGTATAGGCAAGATGGATCAGTGCTCCAGTACACTCAGTCTTGACAACCTTCCTGGTATTAGTACAACTTACCAATCTAAAAGTAAGGTTTTGTCCCATTTCTGGATACTGTGTAATCTTGTCTAAGTTGCCAGCAATAACAACTAGATCTCTACCATCGACTAAACCAGCGGCTACTAATTCTGAGGCTACCCCCTCTGATGTGTCTCGTCCAACGGTGAATTCAAAACGAATATCATTTAGTTCTCTCTTCTGGTTTCTGAAAACAAAAATGAAGTGAACTTGTAGTCAAAATACTTTACAAAATACATTAGTAATAAATATCTTAAACAAAAACTTGTATAAAATTTCAATAAAACTGTATTATACAATATAGGAGTTACATTTCTAATAATAAATGTATTAAAAATATGTTAATCCACAGCTTAATTTTTTAAGACAATACTTCTCATTACAGTATAGAATACGACACCGTGTAACTACAGTGCTCGTCATTTAAGTAAGTTGCCGCTACTCTAAAATGACCACCACAAAATAGGGTGTCTCTTGTACTTTAGGATATGTAGGAGGGAGGGGAGTTTTTTTTTTTTAAACCCACCGGCTATCTCCCACCAAGACAGGGTGGCCCAAAAGAGAAGAAATACTTCCACCATCACTCACTCCATCACTGTCTTGCCAGAGGGGCACAAATACTATGGTTCAAAACTGCAACATACCCCCAGCTCTCCTTCAGAGTGCAGGCACTGTACTTCCCACCTCCAGCTAACTGGTTTCCCTGAATCCCTTCATAAATGTTACCTGCCTAACACTCCAACAGAGATTTTTTCCAGTATAATCAGGCCTTAGACATGATGTCACCATGATTGTTTAATATATTTATAGATGGGCTTGTAAAAGAGGTACAGTTCACCCTCGAATTTTATCATCCATTTTCTGTATGTAAAACTATAGTTATTCTGTATAAAATGTATTTTTTGTTAATATTTTTGGGTGTCTGGAATTGATTAATTGGATTTACATTATTTCTTAAGGGAAATATTAACAAAAAATACAGAGTAGAGTATATGGAGAGTAAAAGAAAGGTGAAGAGAGTGGCGACAGAGTGCAAAAGGAGAGCAGATGATAGTGGGAGAGGCACTGTCAAGAAATTTTAATGAAAATAAGAAAAAATTTTGGAGTGAGTTAAACAAGTTAAGAACGCCTAGGGAACGAATGGATTTGCCAGTTAAAAACAGAGTAGGGGAGTTAGTAGATGGGGAGATGGAGGCATTGGGCAGATGGCTGGAATATTTTCAGGAACTTTAAATGTCAATGACGAAATGGAGGCGGTAATTTTATGCACTGACCAGGGAGGTATAACATCTTTTAGAAGAGAAGAAGAACAGGATGTGAGTGTGGGGGAGGTGCGTGAGGCATTACGTAAAATGAAAGGGGGTAAAACAGCTGGAATTGATTGGATCGTGACAAATCTTAACAGCAGGGGGGGATATAGTGTTAGTGATTGATATTTTTGTTTAATAAATGTATGAAAGAGGGGAAGGTACCTAAGGATTGGCAGAGAGCATGTATAGTTCCTTTATATAATGGCAGTTTGGAGGGATATGTTGTGTATCTTTATACGTATATGCTTCTAAGCTGTTGTATTCTGAGCACCTCTGCAAAAACAGTGATTATGTGTGAGTGTGGTGAAAGTGTTGAATGATGATGAAAGCATTTTCTTTTTGGGGATTTTCTTTCTTTCTTGGGTCACCCTGCCTCGGTGGGAGACGGCCGACTTCTTAAAAAAAAAAAAAGGGGGGGACAAAAGATTGTAAAAATTATAGAGGAATTAGTTTACTGAGTATACCAGGAAAAGTGTACGGTAGGTTTATTATTGAAAGAATTAGAGTTAAGACAGAATGTAGAATTGTGGATGAGCAAGGAGGTTTCAGAGTGGGTAGGGGATGTGTAGATCACTGTCTTGCCAGAAGGGTGCTTTACACTACAGTTTTTAAACTGCAACATTAACACCCCTCCTTCAGAGTGCAGGCACTGTACTTCCCATCTCCAGGACTCAAGTCCGGCCTGCCGGTTTCCCTGAACCCCTTCATAAATGTTACTTTCCTCACACTCCAACAGCACGTCAAGTATTAAAAACTATTTGTCTCCATTCACTCCTATCAAACACGCTCACGCATGCCTGCCGGAAGTCCAAGCCCCTCGCACACAAAACCTCCTTTACCCCCTCTCTCCAACCTTTCCTAGGCCGACCCCTACCCCGCCTTCCTTCAATTACAGACTGATACACTCTTGAAGTCACTCTGTTTCACTCCATTCTCTCTACATGTCCGAACCACCTCAACAAACCTTCCTCAGCCCTCTGGACAACAGTTTTGGTAATCCCGCACCTCCTCCTAACTTCCAAACTACGAATTCTCTGCATTATATTCACACCACACATTGCCCTCAGACATGACATCTCCACTGCCTCCAGCCTTCTCCTCGCTGCAACATTCATCACCCATGCTTCACACCCATATAAGAGCGTTGGTAAAACTATACTCTCATACATTCCCCTCTTTGCTTCCAAGGACAAAGTTCTTTGTCTCCACAGACTCCTAAGTGCACCACTCACCATTTTCCCCTCATCAATTCTATGATTCACCTCATCTTTCATAGACCCATCCGCTGACACGTCCACTCCCAAATATCTGAATACATTCACCTCCTCTATACTCTCTCCCTCCAATCTGATATCCAATCTTTCATCACCTAATCTTTGCATCCTCATAACCTTACTCTTTCCTGTATTCACATTAAATTTTCTTCTTTTGCACACCCTACCAAATTCATCCACCAATCTCTGCAACTTCTCTTCAGAATCTCCCAAGAGCACAGTGTCATCAGCAAAGAGCAACTGTGACAACTCCCACTTTATGTGTGATTCTTTATCTTTTAACTCCACGCCTCTTGCCAAGACCCTCGCATTTACTTCTCTTACAACCCCATCTATAAATATATTAAACAACCACGGTGACATCACACATCCTTGTCTAAGGCCTACTTTTACTGGGAAATAATTTCCCTCTTTCCTACATACTCTAACTTGAGCCTCACTATCCTCGTAAAAACTCTTCACTGCTTTCAGTAACCTACCTCATACATATATGTGAACAGTATTTGTAGGAGTGAGGAAGAGCCAGTTGTGAGTGTGGGGGAAGTTCGTGAGGCAGTAGGTAAAATGAAAGGGGGTAAGGCAGCCGGGATTGATGGGATAAAGATAGAAAGGGTTAAAAGCAGGTGGGGATATAGTTTTGGAGTGGTTGGTGCAATTATTTAATAAATGTATGGAAGAGGGTAAGGTACCTAGGGATTGGCAGAGAGCATGCATAGTTCCTTTGTATAAAGGCAAAGGGGACAAAAGAGAGTGCAAAATTATAGGGGATAAGTCTGTTGAGTATACCTGGTAAAGTGTATGGTAGAGTTATTATTGAAAGAATTAAAAGTAAGACGGAGAATAGGATAGCAGATGAACAAGGAGGCTTTAGGAAAGGTAGGGGGTGTGTGGATCAGGTGTTTACAGTGAAACATATAAGTGAACAGTATTTAGATAAGGCTAAAGAGGTCTTTGTGGCATTTATGGATTTGGAAAAGGCGTATGACAGGGTGGATAGGGGGGCAATGTGGCAGATGTATGGTGTAGGAGGTAGGTTACTGAAAGCAGTGAAGAGTTTTTACGAGGATAGTGAGGCTCAAGTTAGAGTACATAGGAAAGAGGGAAATTATTTCCCAGTAAAAGTAGGCCTTAGACAAGGATGTGTGATGTCACCGTGGTTGTTTAATATATTTATAGATGGGGTTGTAAGAGAAGTAAATGCGAGGGTCTTGACAAGAGGCGTGGAGTTAAAAGATAAAGAATCACACAAAGTGGGAGTTGTCACAGTTGCTCTTTGCTGATGACACTGTGCTCTTGGGAGATTCTGAAGAGAAGTTGCAGAGATTGGTGGATGAATTTGGTAGGGCATGCAAAAGAAGAAAATTAAAAGTGAATACAGGAAAGAGTAAGGTTATGAGGATAACAAAAAGATTAGGTGATGAAAGATTGGATATCAGATTGGAGGGAGAGAGTATGGAGGAGGTGAATGTATTCAGATATTTGGGAGTGGACGTGTCAGCGGATGGGTCTATGAAGGATGAGGTGAATCATAGAATTGATGAGGGGAAAAGGGTGAGTGGTACACTTAGGAGTCTGTGGAGACAAAGAACTTTGTCCTTGGAGGCAAAGAGGGGAATGTATGAGAGTATAGTTTTACCAACACTCTTATATGGGTGTGAAGCATGGGTGATGAATGTTGCAGCGAGGAGAAGGCTGGAGGCAGTGGAGATGTCATGTCTGAGGGCAATGTGTGGTGTGAATATATGCAGAGAATTCGTAGTTTGGAAGTTAGGAGGAGGTGCGGGGTTACCAAAAAATGTTGTCCAGAGGGCTGAGGAAGGGTTGTTGAGGTGGTTCGGACATGTAGAGAGAATGGAGCGAAACAGAATGGGCTTCAAGAGTGTATCAGTCTGTAGTGGAAGGAAGGCGGGGTAGGGGTCGGCCTAGGAAAGGTTGGAGGGAGGGGGTAAGGAGGTTTTGTGTGCGAGGGGCTTGGACTTACAGCAGGCGTGCGTGAGCGTGTTTGATAGGAGTGAATGGAGACGAATGGTTTTTAATACTTGACGTGCTGTTGGAGTGTGAGCAAAGTAACATTTATGAAGGGGTTCAGGGAAACCTGCAGGCCGGACTTGAGTCCTGGAGATGGGAAGTACAGTGCCTGCACTCTGAAGGAGGGGTGTTAATGTTGCAGTTTAAAAACTGTAGTGTAAAGCACCCTTCTGGCAAGACAGTGATGGAGTGAATGATGGTGGAAGTTTTTCTTTTTCGGGCCACCCTGCCTTGGTGGGAATCGGCCAGTGTGATAATAAAAAAAAAATAAAAAAAAAATATTTAGATAAAGGTAGGGAAGTTTTTATTGCATTTATGGATTTAGAAAAGGCATATGATAGAGTGGATAGAGGAGCAATGTGGCAGATGTTGCAAGTATATGGAATAGGTGGTAAGTTACTAAATGCTGTAAAGAGTTTTTATAAGGATAGTGAGGCTCAGGTTAGGGTGTGTAGAAGAGAGGGAGACTACTTCCCGGTAAAAGTAGGTCTTAGACAGGGATGTGTAATGTCACCATGGTTGTTTAATATATTTAAAAGATGGGGTTGAAAAGAAGAAAAATGCTAGGGTGTTCGGGAGAGGGGTGGGATTAAATTATAGGGAATCAAATACAAAATGAGAATTGACACAGTTGCTTTTTGTTGATGATACTGTGCTTATGGGAGATTCTAAAGAAAAATTGCAAAGGTTAGTGGACGAGTTTGGGAGTGTGTGTAAAGGTAGAAAGTTGAAAGTGAATATAGAAAAGAGTAAGGTGATGAGGGTATCATATGATTTAGATAAAGAAAAATTGGATATCAAATTAGAGAGGAGGAGTATGGAGGAAGTGAATGTTTTCAGACATTTGGGAGTTAACGTGTCAGTGGATGGATTTATGAAGGATGAGGTTAATCATAGAATTGATGAAGGAAAAATGTATGGTATGTTGAGGTATATGTGGAGACAAAAAAAGTTATCTATAGAGGCAAAGAAGGGAATGTATGAAAGTATAGTGGTACCAACACTCTTATATGGGTGTGAAGCTTGGGTTGTAAATGCTGCAGTGAGGAGACGGTTGGAGACAGTGGAGATGACCTGTCTAAGGGCAATGTGTGGTGTAAATATTATGCTGAGAATTCAGAGTGTGGAAATTAGGAGAAGGTGTGGAGTTAATAAAAGTATTAGTCAGAGGGCTGAAGAGAGGTTGTTGAGGTGGTTTGGTCATTTAGAGAGAATGGATCAAAGTAGAATGACATGGAGAGCGTATAAATCTGTAGGGGAAGGAAGGCAGGGTAGGGGTCATCCTCAAAAAGGTTGGAGGGAGGGGGTAAAGGAGGTTTTGTGGGTGAGGGGCTTGGACTTCCAGCAAGAGTGCATGAGCATGTTAGATAGGAGTGAATGGAGACGAATGGTATTTGAGACCTGATGAGCTGTTGGAGTGTGAGCAGGGTAATATTTAGCGAAGGGATTCAGGGAAATCAGTTATTTTCATATAGCCGGACTTGAGTACTGGAAATGGGAAGTACAATGTCTGCACTTTAAAGGAGGGGTTCGGGATATTGGCAGTTTGGAGGGATATATTGTGTATCTTTATATGTATATGCTTCTAAACTGTTGTGTTCTGAGCACCTCTGCAAAAACAGTGATTATATGTGAGTGAGGTGAAAGTGTTGAATGATGATGAAAGTATTTTCTTTTTCGGTATTTTTTGTTTCTTTTTGGGTCACCCTGCCTAGGTGGGAGATGGCTGACTTTAAAAAAAAAAAAAAAAAAAAACTACAGTACACTACTGTATAAACATTTAAAAATATACCAAAAATGTTATAAACAGTACAAAGGTGACATTAAAACAATATCAAAGATGGCTGACACAAACCCACTACCATTATAGTATGCTCCTCACTTAGCGACGAGTTTGTTTACCAACGTGGATTTAGGAACGAAACTCCATCGTTCAGTGAGGAGAAGCTGTATATAATAATCATTTTAATTCAGGAAGAGAATTTCCTTTTACTAACCTGACCCTGAGCACCAAGTTGATAGGTTCACTATCCATGGAAGCCTGTTGGACGGCTGGCACCACACATCCCCCAAGACCCTCACCCATTATGTGAGGTATACCACCCATGGCAACGGACTGGGGTACGTTCTGACCCACAACTTCAGGTACACCTTGAGGGTACCCGACCCCTGGAGGTATGCTGGTAGGGACAACGGGTGCCATAGATGCTACCATCATATCTGGTACCATATTAACCCCAGGCATCATATTTGGAACCTGTAAATAAAAAAATTACTTGAAAAAAACACAATACCCTGACTGGAACAATACACAATACCCGCAAACAAGAGAATGAAACTTTTGACGACTGTGAATGGAATTTGTTATGTTTTGGTCCAAGTCGGCCCAAAAAACATCACAAATTCCTTCTATGTGATAACCCCCTTCCCCATTTACGCCCCGAGTTGGGTTCCCGGAAAAACCCGGTCGTAAGTCAAAATGGTGAAAGTCGAACTTTACTCTGAATATCAACAAAACATTTTTGTAATGACTTTTTTTTTTTGTTTTATTTTGGGTTTTCTTTTTTAAATTTTTCTTTTTATGTTTTTTGACTGTATTTTTCGAAATTTTTTTGGAAAAAACTGTGTACAACACAAATAACGGGCCCCCCCGGTTAACGAATTTTTTTCATTCCAGTATTTGTTCAAGTGCGTACTGACCGAATTTTTTCCCAAAGAAATTGTGAATAGATTAGCCCATTTCGCCCCCCCAAACATACCCGTCAAACCCCTTACACAAATACACTTACAAAATTTGGGCTTTTAGGCGATCGTTAAGGGGGGTCCACTTAGTTTTTTTTTTTTCCCAGAAATTTGGCATAAAAAAAACCGGTCCTAAGTCGAGTGGGAAGTCGACAGTGTAATGGGGATGGTAGGTTATTTGGTAAAAAAACAAAATTTCCACAAAAAAAAAAAATGTTTTTTTTTTTTTATCACATGGCCTTTCCCCCAAGGCAGGGTGGCCCGAAAAAGAAAAACTTTTCCACCTCAATCTTCCACACTGTCTTGCCAAAAGGTGTTTTACACTCCCGTTTTTAAAACTGAAAACATTAAACCCCTTCTTGGTGCGGGCACTGTATTCCCCATCTCGGCCCAAAGTGGGCCCGCCGGGTTTTCCCCTAACCCCCCTTAAAAAATGTTACTTGCCACACTCCAACGACATAAAGTTTTAAAAACCCTTCGTCCTTCACTCCTATCAAACATCTCACGCAGCCTGCTGGAAGTCCAACCCCTCGCCACAAAACCCCCTTTTTCCCCGTCCCCCCCAACTTTCCTAGGCCACCCTCCCCGCCTTCCTTCTACACGATGTACACTCTTGAACATTCTTTTTTGCTCCATTCTCTCTCATGTCCCCAAAAACTCAACAAACCCTTTCCCACCCTCTGGATAACGTTTTGGGAAAACCCCCACCTCCCCAACTTTCCAAACCAAATTTTCTGCAATATTCACACCACACATTCCCCAGACATGACTCTCCCCTGCCCCCATTTTTCTCGCTGCAAAAATTCAACCCAGCTTTACACCCCTTTAAAAAAAGGGTTTGGTAAAACTTTCCCCCTAAATTCCCTCTTTGCCCCAACAAAATTTTTTTGTCTCACAGACTCCCAAATGCACCACTCACCCTTTTTCCCCCCATCAATTTTTGATTCACCCTTTTCCCTTTATAGAACCCATCCCCGGGCAGTCCCCAAAATTGAATCATTCACCTCCTCCCTACTCTCTCCCTCCTCTGATATCCAAAACTTTTATCACAATCTTTTTGTTATTCTCTAACCTTTACTCTTTCCCGTATTCACTTTAATTTTCTTTTTTTGCACACCCACCAAATTTATCCCCATTCTGCAATTCTTCAGTTTTCCCCAGACCAGTGTCATCAGCAAAGAGCAACTGCGACAAATCCTACTTTTTTTTATTTATTAAAACCGGCCCATTCCCCCAAAGGGAGGGTGGCCCGAAAAAGAAAAAATTTCACCACATTCTCCCACTGTCTTGCCAGAAGGGTGCTTACACTACAGTTTTTAAAAATGCACTTTTCACCCCCTACTTTAGTGTGTTCTTTATCTTTAACTCCACACCTCTTGCCCAAAACCCCCCGCTTTTTCTTCTCTTTCAACCCCATCTTAAATAATTAAACAACCCCGGGGGACTCACACATCCCTGTTTAGGCCTACTTTTTCTGGGGAAAAATTTCCCTCTTTCCTTTTTTACTCTAACTTGACCTCACATCCTCGTAAAAACTCTTTCACTGCTTTCGAACCCACCCCTACCCATAAACCTGAACACTGCCACTTGCCCCCCTTCCACCGTAAGCTTTTCCCCAAAACCATAAAGCCACAAAGACCTTTAGCCCTTTTCTAAATCTGTTCACTTATAGTTTCACGTAAACACCTGGCCACACACCCCCTCCTTCCCAAAGCCCCCCTTTTTCATTGCTTTATTCTCCATCTTACTTTTTTTTCTTTCAAAATAACCCCTTACACTTTACCAGGTATACCAACAGCTTATCCCCCCATAATTTTTGCCTCTCCTTTTTTTCCCCCCTTTCCTTTTACAAAGGACTTGCATGCCCTGCCAAAACCCCAGGTACCTTACCCTCTTCCAAAATTTATTAAATAATTGCACCCAAACCCCTCCAAAAAACATCCCCACCCGCTTTTTTAAAATTTCTATTTTTTCCCCTCAATCCCGGTGCCTTCCCCCCCTTTTATTTTCCTACTGCCTCAGAACTTCCCCCAACTCACAATGGTTTCCTCACTCCTACAAGATGTTTTTTCCCCTTGCCCCATAACGAAATCACAGTTCCCCATCTTCATCAAATTTTCAATTCCTCAAATATTCCCTCCTTTCCAATACCCCTAACTCTCCCTTTAATAACTCTCTTCTCCTGTTTTTAACTGACAAATCAATTTGTTCTCTAGGCTTCGTTAACTTGTTAATCTCACTCCAAACTTTTTCTTATTTTCAACAAAATTTGTTGATAACATCTCACCCACTCTCTCATTTGCTCTCTTTTTACATTGCTTCACCACTCTCTTAACCTCTCTCTTTTTCTCCATATACTCTTCCCTCCTTGCATCACTTCTACTTTGTAAAAAACTTCTCATATGCTAACTTTTTCTCCCTTACTACTCTCTTTACATCATCATTCCACCAATTGCTCCTCTTCCCTCCCACACCCACTTTCCTGTAACCACAAACTTCTGCTGAACACTCTAACACTACATTTTAAACCTACCCATACCTCTTCGACCCCATTGCCTATGCTCTCATTAGCCCATCTATCCTCCAATAGCTGTTTATATCTTTCCCTAACTGCCTCCTCTTTTAGTTTATAAACCTTCACCTCTCTCTTCCCTGATGCTTCTATTCTCCTTGTATCCCATCTACCTTTTACTCTCAGTGTAGCTACAACTAGAAAGTGATCTGATATATCTGTGGCCCCTCTATAAACATGTACATCCTGAAGTCTACTCAACAGTCTTTTATCTACCAATACATAATCCAACAAACTACTGTCATTTTGCCCTACATCATATCTTGTATACTTATTTATCCTTTTTTTCTTAAAATATGTATTACCTATAACTAAACCCCTTTCTATACAAAGTTCAATCAAAGGGCTTCCCATTATCATTTACACCTGGCACCCCAAACTTACCTACCACACCCTCTCTAAAAGTTTCTCCTACTTTAGCATTCAGGTCCCCTACCACAATTACTCTCTCACTTGGTTCAAAGGCTCCTATACATTCACTTAACATCTCCCAAAATCTCTCTCTCCTCTACATTCCTCTCTTCTCCAGGTGCATACACGCTTATTATGACCCACTTTTCGCATCCAACCTTTACTTTAATCCACATAATCCTTGAATTTACACATTCACATTCTCTTTTCTCCTTCCATAACTGATCCTTCAACATTACTGCTACCCCTTCCTTTGCTCTAACTCTCTCAGATACTCCAGATTTAATCCCATTTATTTCCCCCCACCGAAACTCCCCTACCCCCTTCAGCTTTGTTTCGCTTAGGGCCAGGACATCCAACTTCTTTTCATTCATAACATCAGCAATCATCTGTTTCTTGTAATCTGCACTACATCCACGCACATTCAAGCATCCCAGTTTTATAAAGTTTTTCTTCTTCTCTTTTTTAGTAAATGTCTACAGGAGAAGGGGTTACTAGCCCATTGCTCCCGGCATTTTAGTCGCCTCATACGACACGCATGGCTTATGGAGGAAAGATTCTTTTCCACTTCCCCATGGACAATAGAAGAAATAAAGAAGAACAAGAGCTATGTAGAAAAAGGAGAAAAACCTAGATGTATGTATATATATATGCATGTGCATGTCTGTGAAGTGTGACCAAAGTGTAAGTAGGAGTAGCAAGATATCCCTGTTATCTAGCGTGTTTATGAGACAGAAAAAGACACCAACAATCCTACCATCATGCAAAACAGTTACAGGTTTCTGTTTCACAGTCATCTGGCAGGACGGTAGTACTTCTCTGGGTGGTTGCTGTCTACCAACCTACTACCTATGAAACAGAATAGAAATGATATAGATACATTTCAAATGCTATTACTGTACAAAAAAGAAGGCAAAATCATGAATCTACAGTATCACAATTTTTTTTTTTTTGTGAACACATCAGCTAACCCACCGAGGCAGGGTGACCTAAAAGGACAGTTTATGATGCTTGTCTATATTTTGCCAAACATGAATAAATAAAATACTAGGCAAGGACTTCAATCATGGTCCCTGTACACACAAGTCCCAGTGCTGTAACCACTCTACCACAGAGCTTACAATGGGTCAGTTTTTATGATAAAAACAACTGTGACCTGTTAGGTAAAAAGTACACAAGGGCAGCTAATGCGGCATTTTGTTGTGGCACTTGTGTCCTTTTACCTAACATAGTTGGTAATTCTACCAACATTATTACAACCCTAAGGTAGTAGGCTGGTAGACAGCAACCATCCAGGGAGGTACTACCGTCCTGTGGAAGTAGGTTGGTAGACAGCAACCGCCCAGGGAGGTACTACCATCCTGTGGTAGTAGGCTGGGTGGTTGCTGTCTACCAACCTACTACCACAGGATGGTAGTACCTCCCTGGGTGGTTGCTGTCTACCAACCTACTACCACAGGATGGTAGTACCTCCCTGGGTGGTTGCTGTCTACCAACCTACTACCACAGGATGGTAGTACCTCCCTGGGTGGTTGTTGTCTACCAACCTACTACCACAGGATGGTAGTACCTCCCTGGGTGGTTGCTGTCTACCAACCTACTACCACAGGATGGTAGTACCTCCTGGGTGGTTGCTGTCTACCAACCTACTACCACAGGATGGTAGTACCTCCCTGGGTGGTTGCTGTCTACCAACCTACTACCACAGGATGGTAGTACCTCCCTGGGTGGTTGCTGTCTACCAACCTACTACCACAGGATCGTAGTACCTCCCTGGGTGGTTGCTGTCTACCAACCTACTACCACAGGACGGTAGTACCTCCCTGGGTGGTTGCTGTCTACCAACCTACTACCACAGGATGGTAGTACCTCCCTGGGTGGTTGCTGTCTACCAACCTACTACCACAGGATGGTAGTACCTCCCTGGGTGGTTTCTGTCTACCAACCTACTACCACAGGATGGTAGTACCTCCCTGGGTGGTTGCTGTCTACCAACCTACTACCACAGGACGGTAGTACCTCCCTGGGTGGTTGCTGTCTACCAACCTACTACCACAGGACGGTAGTACCTCCCTGGGTGGTTGCTGTCTACCAACCTACTACCACAGGACGGTAGTACCTCCCTGGGTGGTTGCTGTCTACCAACCTACTACCACAGGATGGTAGTACCTCCCTGGGTGGTTGTTGTCTACCAACCTACTACCACAGGATGGTAGTACCTCCCTGGGTGGTTGCTGTCTACCAACCTACTACCACAGGACGGTAGTACCTCCCTGGGTGGTTGCTGTCTACCAACCTACTACCACAGGATGGTAGTACCTCCCTGGGTGGTTGCTGTCTACCAGCCTACTACCACAGGATGGTAGTACCTCCCTGGGTGGTTGCTGTCTACCAACCTACTACCACAGGATGGTAGTACCTCCCTGGGTGGTTACTGTCTACCAACCTACTACCACAGGATGGTAGTACCTCCCTGGGTGGTTGTTGTCTACCAACCTACTACCACAGGACGGTAGTACCTCCCTGGGTGGTTGCTGTCTACCAACCTACTATCTAGATGACATACCTTGGGTTTACTAAATAGTACATAATTGCAAAACAACCACCTGTGTGGGGAGGGGGAGTTGAATGATAACTCTAGGCCTTTTGCATTGCAATCAACATGTCAGGAGTTTGCAATGTTGCAGAAATGAGTAGGAAATCCAGGTAGATTTGTTCAGTGGAAAGACTGTAGCTTGATTTGAGCTGGAATCATTCCACTGAACAAAACTACCTGGACTTCCAACTCCTTTCTGCAACACTGCAAGCTCCTGATGTACTGATTGCAACACAAAAGGCCTAGAGTTATCGTTCAACTTACCCTATGTTTTTTTTTTTTGCATCTTGTATCACTTGTTTGCAATTACTGGAAATACATTTATGTCTGACCTATACCATACACTCCTAAACTACATATACATACCTGCTGTGGTATTATTCCAACTGGCTGTTGTTGCATGTGCTGGAGTGGGTATGGCTGAGAAGGTAACTGTTGGGGTAACTGTTGGGGTAACTGTTGGGGTAACTGTTGGGGTAACTGCTGGGGTAACTGCTGGGGTAACTGCTGGGGTAACTGCTGTGGGATTAACTGCTGCTGTGGTAACTGGTGTTGAGGCAACTGCTGTTGTGGTAGCTGCTGTTGGAGTAAATGCTGTGAGGCCAACTGCTGTGGTTGGAGAGCAGCAACTGGTTGGATGACTTGCTGTGGCTGCTGCTGATACTGTGTTGGATACACCTGTGGAACAACTGCTCCAGCAACTGGCTGCTGGTACTGCTGCACTACTTGCGGATGATAATTTAATGGAGGCTGTGGTTGCTGAAGCAGTAAAGTCTGCTGCTGAGAAGCTGTTTGTGGTTGTACTGGCTGTGAATGAGACTGCTGTGGCTGGGCTGCTGCCACAGGACTTGGCTGTGGTGGTTGTGGTTGCTCCTGCGACTGCACTTGTGAAGATGGTGATGACTGGTTCTGTGACTGGTGAGCATCTGACTGCTGAGGCTGTGACTGTTTTTCTCCACCACTCTCACAACTACTCGTTGAGATTTTATCAGCCTTAAAAGAAAGGAATAAATAATTTAAGATAAACAGAGACAGAAGCAAGAGAAATTACCAGCACAACAGGTGGGTCAAAGATGACCCGGCAGATGGCATATCTAACATAATTGGAAGATATCATTGCAGCTTAATAACGCCCTGTCTCCTAACCACCCAACTACTGTACTATATTTATGGAGCGTGAGCAAGGTAACATTTGTGAAGGGATTCAGTGAAACTGGTTAGCTGGACTTGAGTCCTGGAGGTGGGAAGTACAGTGCCTGTACTCTGAAGGAGAGGTGGAGATATGTGGCAGTTTTTTAAGTGTATTATTGGCATGCCTCTGGGAAGACAGTGAGGGAGTGAATAATGATGATTTTTTTTTTCTTTTCAGATCATCCTGCTTCAATGGAAAATGGCCAATGTGTTAAAAAAAATTATAGCATCAGACGAGATATACATTTTTTTTATTAACAATGGCCATCTCCCACCAAGGCTGGGTGACCCGAAAAAGAAGAAACTTAGTTTACCTTCTTTTAACATTGAGTAAGGTATGCAGGAGAAGGTGTTACTAGGCCCTTGCTCCCAGCACTGTATCCTTACTTTCAATATACATTTATTGAGTTCTGAGCCATGGGCCAGGTTTGTCTGGTGCTTGCCTGGTCAAACAGGCTGTTGCTGATGCTGCTGCTGCTGGTGTCTCACTGAACCACATAACCATCACAGCCTCTTATGATATGCATGGCTTACAGAAGGATTCTTCTCCACTTCCCCCATGGAGTACAATGTGTGATGTATACTAGGTAAGGTAAATTTGTTAGATTACTTAACAGTGTCCGTTTTCCACTGAGGTAGGGTGACCTCAGTGTGAGGTCACCCTGCCTGACATCGTAGCTCAGATGACCTTCCAAACAGCATATATATCTTCGCCCTCAAAGTACAGAAACTGTACTTCCCACTTTCCAGACTTAAGTCTGGCCAATGGGGTTTCCTGAATCCCTTCAAAAGTGTTAACGTGCTCACACTCCAACAGCAAGTTAGATCATAAAAACCACTTGCCTCCACACACTTCTCACACACTCATAACAGCCTGTTAGATATTAAAGTCCCTATAACTCAAAACCCTCCCTCCAACCTTCCTGGAAATAAACCCTACCCAGCCTTCCTTTTGCCCCAGATTTATAAACCTTCCTATTCACCCTATTTTGCTCCACCTTCTCTAAATGCCTAAACCACCTCAACAACCCTCTCCTCCACCTTCTTCTAATTTCCAAGTTCCTAATTCTATGAACATTCACACCACACATCACTCTCCAATACAACACTTCCTCTGTTTCCAGCCTCCTCCTCAATGCTGAATTTGTGTAATACACAAACTAATAGTAATGATCATGTATTAGAAATTGTGCAACACTTGGGTATTTTTACTGTGGAAATGTTTTGCCTTTCAGTGGTTTCCTCAGTCCAACACAGATAAGAATGGCTGAAGATCAGGAGTAATTTGAGGTAATCAGTCCCTCAACTGTACATATCAGTCCCTTAGCTGAGAGACCGATATGTACATCATAAGCCATATTACAAGATATACCTAGGTCTTGATTAATGCAAATAATGGATCCCATGAAGCAATCTCATTCTTTGAATTATTTGTAATTTTTGCACATGATTTGAAGAGTTTGTGGAAAAAATCAGCATCAATTAATTTTGCACTAAATCAAAATTCACACTATTTAAACTTGCTACTGTCAAAGGGATAATAATAAAGCACAATGAACAAGAAGCAAGACGAGCATACAGGTGCTCCTTGCTTTATGATGGTTCAACTAAATATTTTGACTTTTACGACGGTGCGATATCAATTAATGTTAGTTCTATGCTTCACAACATTCTTCAGGCCCAGTGGGCTTTCAGCTGACTACATTAATAGTAAGTACCAGTACAACATATCAGTACATGTCCTGTACTTGTATCATCCTTGGACAATTAAGTCAATGTACTGTAAAACAAACCGGCCGTATCCCACCAAGGCAGGGTGGCGCAAAAAGAAAAACAAAAGTTTCTTTTTAAATTTAGTAATTTATACAGGAGAAGGGGTTACTAGCCCCTTGCTCCTGGCATTTTAGTCGCCTCTTACAACACGGATGGCTTACGGAGGAAGAATTCTGTTCCACTTCCCCATGGAGATAAGAGGAAATAAACAAGAACTAGAAAGAAAATAGCAGAAAACCCAGAGGGGTGTGTATATATATGCTTGTACATGTATGTGTAGTGTGACCTAAGTGTAAGTAGAAGTAGCAAAACGTATGCATGTTTATGAGACAGAAGAAAAGGACACCAGCAATCCTACCATCATGTAAAACAATTACAGGTTTCCGTTTTACACTCACTTGGCAGGACGGTAGTACCTCCCTGGGTGGTTGCTGTCTACCAACCTACTACCACAGGACGGTAGTACCTCCCTGGGCGGTTGCTGTCTACCAACCTACTACCACAGGATGGTAGTACCTCCCTGGGTGGTTGCTGTCTACCAACCTACTACCACAGGACGGTAGTACCTCCCTGGGTGGTTGCTGTCTACCAACCTACTACCACAGGATGGTAGTACCTCCCTGGGTGGTTGCTGTCTACCAACCTACTACCTATATGCACTTATTTATTTACTTATTAATTTATCATATATTCAACTTGGGATGGGATCATCGGAACGTAACTCATCGTGAGTTGAGAAGTATCTGTAGTTTACCCTATACAAATTCATCAAAATTAAAATCCCTTTCGTTAGTTAATATATTTATATTTATATATCTGGGGAGAATATGCAGACACATACCTCATCATCTTTATCTTCTTCTTCTTCATCACTAGACCAAACCCAATCACCACTTTGGGTCCGGTGTAATCGACCAGAGGCACCAGGCTGTCGACTTCGATTTTGCTGCAAAGAATAAGCTTTCTTACTGACTGTAACAAATGAAACAATATATATAAATTTACAATCACTATTACAATAACAAATGAAGCAATATATTTTTTTTAACATGCTGGCCATTTCCTAATGAGGCAGGGTGACCCAAAAACGAAACACTTTCACCATCATTCACACAATCACTGTCTTTGTCGAGGTGCCCAGATATGAGTTCAGATGTCACTCCAACAGCTAATATCCCAAACCTCTCCTTTAAAGTGCAGGTGTTTAATTACTTAATTAAAACTGGTTTAACAATGTTACATTATTCAAGCAATTAAATACTGTACTCCTACACAGTGTTGTCGAGTAATTACTTTTTTTATTAACAATACAGCCCCAAAATATGGCAGCTACGAGCTGAAAACCGATGGAGTCTTGTTTGTAATTTTCACCACAGTATGTAGGTTAGGTTAGGTTAGGCTAGGTTTGTCAGGAAACAGGACAAGTTTTTCCTGATGCTGGTCTTAGTCACATGATGACATACAGCTGAAGCTTTTGGTCATCTGACCAAGGCCTTCCACTGGCTTACCCCTCCAACCCTTTAAACCAAATTAACAGTTGCATTTCAGTTTTCATAATTCTATTTTTTTTTTTTTTATTATCACACTGGCCGATTCCCACCAAGGCAGGGTGGCCCGAAAAAGAAAAACTTTCACCATCATTCACTCCATCACTGTCTTGCCAGAAGGGTGCTTTACACTACAGTTTTTAAACTGCAACATTAACACCCCTCCTTCAGAGTGCAGGCACTGTACTTCCCATCTCCAGGACTCAAGTCCGGCCTGCCGGTTTCCCTGAATCCCTTCATAAATGTTACTTTGCTCACACTCCAACAGCACGTCAAGTATTAAAAACCATTTGTCTCCATTCACTCCTATCAAACACGCTCACGCATGCCTGCTGGAAGTCCAAGCCCCTCGCACACAAAACCTCCTTTACCCCCTCCCTCCAACTTTCCTAGGCCGACCCCTACCCCGCCTTCCTTCCACTACAGACTGATACACTCTTGAAGTCATTCTGTTTCGCTCCATTTCTCTACATGTCCGAACCACCTCAACAACCCTTCCTCAGCCCTCTGGACAACAGTTTTGGTAATCCCGCACCTCTCCTAACTTCCAAACTACGAATTCTCTGCATTATATTCACACCACACATTGCCCTCAGACATGACATCTCCACTGCCTCCAGCCTTCTCCTCGCTGCAAATTCATCACCCACGCTTCACACCATATAAGAGCGTTGGTAAACTATACTCTCATACATTCCCTCTTTGCCTCCAAGGACAAAGTTCTTTGTCTCCACAGACTCCTAAGTGCACCACTCACTCTTTTTCCCTCATCAATTCTATGATTCACCTCATCTTTCATAGACCCATCCGCTGACACGTCCACTCCCAAATATCTGAATACGTTCACTCCTCCATACTCTCTCCCTCCAATCTGATATCCAATCTTTCATCACCTAATCTTTTTGTTATCCTCAATAACCTTTACTCTTTCCTGTATTCACCTTTAATTTTCTTATTTTGCACACCCTACCAAATTCATCCACCAATCTCTGCAACTTCTCTTCAGAATCTCCCAAGAGCACAGTGTCATCAGCAAAGAGCAGCTGTGACAACTCCCACTTTGTGTGTGATTCTTTATCTTTTAACTCCACGCCTCTTGCCAAGACCCTCGCATTTACTTCTCTTACAACCCCATCTATAAATATATTAAACAATAATTCTAATAAATTACTCTAATAATTCTAATAAACACTTTATTTCACTCATTATATATGAAGTGGGACGAATTCTTTCTTTTCAAGTTTAAGGGACGAGCGAAATCACCATTTTTTTTTTTTGTGGTCAGATTTCAATGAGAATTTGACGGTGGATTAAGCAGCATAAATCAATTCTATGATTCACCTCGTCTATGAAAGATGAGGTGAATCATAGAATTGATGAGGGAAAAAGAGTGAGTGGTGCACTTAGGAGTCTGTGGAGACAAAGAACTTTGTCCTTGGAGGCAAAGAGGGGAATGTATGAGAGTATAGTTTTACCAACGCTCTTATATGGGTGTGAAGCATGGGTGATGAATGTTGCAGCGAGGAGAAGGCTGGAGGCAGTGGAGATGTCATGTCTGAGGGCAATGTGTGGTGTGAATATAATGCAGAGAATTCGTAGTTTGGAAGTTAGGAGGAGGTGCGGGATTACCAAAACTGTTGTCCAGAGGGCTGAGGAAGGGTTGTTGAGGTGGTTCGGACATGTAGAGAGAATGGAGCGAAACAGAATGACTTCAAGAGGTATCAGTCTGTATGGAAGGAAGGGGGGTAGGGGGCGGCCTAGGAAAGGTTGGAGAGGGGGGGGTAAAGGAGGGTTTTGTGTGCAAGGGGCTTGGACTTCCAGCAGGTATGCATGAGTGTGTTTGATAGGGTGAATGGGGGACAAATGGTTTTTTAATATTGACGTGCTGTTAGAGTGTGAGCAAAGTAACATTTATGAAGGGGTTCAGGGAAACCGGCAGGCCGGACTTGAGTCCTGGAGATGGGAAGTACAGTGCCTGCACTCTGAAGGAGGGGTGTTAATGTTGCAGTTTAAAAAATGTAGTGTAAAGCACCCTTTGGCAAGACAGTGATGGAGTGAATGATGGGTGAAAGTTTTTCTTTTTCGGGCCCCCCTGCCTTGGTGGGAATCGGCCAGTGTGATAAAAAAAAAAAAAAAAAAAAAAAAAAATTTAAGGCGTGTTTGTTTAGCTTCAAGAAGATAGAAAAAATAAATTATCACAATTTTTTGGGGTCATAAGACTTTCCTAATTTTAAAAATTGGGAAGTTTCAATGCCATGTAGTCAATTTTTTTTTTTATTAATATTTTGGCTTTTTCCCCCCAAGGCAGGTGACCGGGAAAAAAAACATTTTCATCATATTCCCCCCTCACTGCCCCTTCCCAAAGGGGCGTGCCAAATACTTATAAATGAAACTATCAACCCCCCCTTGAAAAAAATTTACTGTTTATGTAGTAAACATAGCAATGTAATTTTTTGTTTATGTCATCAACGTAACAATAAATTTTCCAATTTACAGCTGAGAGCAAAGTTATCTCATAATTACCAAAACGTATTCAGCGTATTTATTTTTAATTCGGGGTTTTCAGCACAGTGGTCCCCGGGCACTTAATCGGTTCCAGAAGGGTGCTCAAAATGCCGACTTTTTATACGGAACAAATTTTTTCCCAACCAATTTTTTCTTTGGTTACTGCTATCATAATCCTCTTAGGCCCCAGGGGACTTATTTTAAAAAGAAAAGCCAAAAAATGCGAAGAAACTGAAATAGATTACAGTGAAGTTCTGCAGGTCACGTTTGTTTTGGGCGATCCAGCAAAAGGCTGATGACCGCAATTTTTTTACCAAAAAAAAGCTTTTTCAAAAGCACTTACAATAATACACTTTAAAAATTGGTCAGATGGGAGCAGTTCGAAACTCAGGTACCACTGTTTTTTCTGATAATTATCTTTTGTGTACCTGGACTTAAAAAAATTAAACACTGGTGGTGTGTTGGGACACATTAAAACCTAAGATGTCTTATTGTCTTGAGGACATATATTTAAAAATGATTTTAATAATATTCACTGAGGGGAATTAAAAGTTGCTTTTTTTTTTTAACAAGTCGGGGCCCCACCAGGCAGGGTGGTCCACCCGAAGCAGGGGGCCCACCGAGGCAGGGTGCCCACCGAGGCGGGGGACCCACCGAGGCAAAGGGGGACCACCGAGGCAGGGTGGCCCCCCGAGGCAGGGTGACCCACCGAGGCAGGGTGACCCAAAAAGAAAGAAAATCCCCAAAAAGAAAATACTTTCATCATCATTCAACACTTTCACCTCACTCACACATAATCACTGTTTTTGCAGAGGTGCTCAGAATACAACAGTTTAAAAGTACGTATATATCTATAAAGATACACAACATATCCCTCCAAACTGCCAACATCCCGAACCCCTCCTTTAGAGTGCAGGCATTGTACTTCCCATATCCAGTACAGTGGACCCCCGCATAACGATGGCATCACATAGCGATTTTTCCGCATACCGCTTACTTTTATCGCAAAATTTTTGCCGCGCATACCGATTAAAAACCCGCTCACCGATTTTCGTCCGAGACGCGTCCAATGTGCCCTCACATGTGCCGCCCGTCCCATTGTTTACCAGCCAGCCTCCGCGGTAACATCCAAGCATACACTCGGAATATTTCGTATTATTACAGTGTTTTCGGTGCTGTTTCTGGAAAATAAGTGACCATGGGCCCCAAGAAAGCTTCTAGTGCCAACCCTGTGGTAAAAAGGGTGAGAATTAGTATGGAAATTAAGAAAGATTTTGAAGGGTTTGGGGCTAACCCTGAGAAGCCTATGCCAGTTGTGGAATCCATTGTGCCTACTTCAAAGATTAAGGAAATGTGTGCACAGTGGGTTGAACTGAAAACCCTTTTTATAGATGAAAATCACCCTGACACAGCTGTTGCAAGCCGTGCTGGTGACTATTTCAATGACAATGTTGTGGCCCATTTTAGACAAATCGTAAAGGAACGGGAGGTACAGAGCTCTATGGACAGATTTGTTGTGCGACAGAGGTCCAGTGACTCTCAAGCTGGTCCTAGTGGCATTAAAAGAAGAAGGGAAGTAACCCCGGAAAAGGACTTGCTACCTCAAGTCGTAATGGAAGGGGATTCCCTTCTAAACAGTAAGAAGATAATGCTCTCCCCTCCTCCCATCCCATCAATCATCACCAGATCTTCAATAAAAGTAAGTGTCATGTAATTGTGCATGCCTTTTTCAGTTTGTGTGTATTAAAATTAACATTTCATGTGGTAAAAAAAATTTTTTTTCATACTTTTGGGCGTCTTGCACGGATTAATTTTATTTCCATTATTTCTTATGGGGAAAATTCATTCGCATAACGATTATTTCGCATAACGATGAGCCCTCTTGCACGGATTAAAATCGTTAACCGGGGGTCCACTGTACTCATGTCCAGCTATATAAAAATAACCAGTTTCTCTGAATCTCTTTACTAAATATTACCCTGCTCACACTCCAACAGCTCATCAGGTCCCAAACACCATTCGT